ATACATACATACATACATACATGCACGTGCATATATAATATATATATATATATATATATATATATATATATATATATATATATGTATGTACAAATATAGACATGTATGTATACGCGGTGCAAGCTATGCAGTACAATCCTTGTGGTGCAGTTGATTCTAACAAACGAATTGACACATCCCATGCTCTTGCAAACAGCCCACCCTCCAACCCGAAACTTGGTTTGCTAAACCCACGCGGCGGCATGTGCGATGAACGCTTGGATTGGGCTGGTCCATCTGTGCGGCCGCGCCAACCCTAGCACGCGCACGCAGAGGCCAGATAATCTAACGCCACCGACGCGGCCGCGGGAGCGCTGACACCCGTGCGCATCCCAGCTGGCACTTCACTGCGAGTCGGCGACTTGGGCGGGCGCGGTATAATGGCAACGTCGACAACGGTAGACGCGACGATGATGTTAGCAACGCTGGCGACGATGTTCGCCCCGACGAGGGCGCAGTCAGCGCGGGCGCCGATGTTGATCACGCCGACGACGACGACGACGGCATCCTCGCGCCGGTGATGAAGGTTTTGAAAAGGAGTTCGGCACGCACGCGCGGCAGACGCGCAAAAATAACCCGCGTGGTTTGATGCGACACGGATCGCGCCCCCCCACCACGCGCGCATGGGCGCGCGAATGATGTCGGCATGCGGCGCCAGAGACCCGCTTGGCAGAATGTCACGGAAATGCTGGAATATCCAAAAATGTGCAAGAACGCGCGCACAAGCCTTGTTTGAAAACTGCTGTTCCGAAGGCATGTGTGTTTAAATGTCTTGTGACATTCGCTTTTGAAATCGCTACGAAACCACAGGATGATGAAGGATTACGGCCTGCGCGCGCGACGTCGCGCGCGCGTACTTCGCCCCGTCTGTTGCAGGGGTTTCTCGCGACGGCACGCGCGCACGGGCGTTCGAACGATTTCGGCATGCGCGCGCGAAGCCCGTTTGGTGGCATTTTCTGGGAAGGATGAAAAGCCAAGCGGTTTTCGTAAGAATTCGCCAGAGCACGCGCGCACGCTTTTGTTGAAAATCCGCGTTGCGAAACCCTTTGTTTAATGTTTTTTTACGCTCGATTCTGAAATCCGTTCGATTTTGAAATCCCTACGACGACGCGCGCGCGTGCACTTCGTTCCATGTTTTGGCAACGAGTATTGGAAACTGCTGATTTGGGTTACACGAGTGCGCGCGCATAATACTTTTGGCAAAAGATGACGGGGAGGCGGATACCTGTTGGGCTGGGATGGTACAAATTCAGATTTAGGATGGCCGATGGGGCAGAATCACATGCAAATTGGTGAACGAATAATGGGCACCGATAGTACTCCTTGGGGGGGTCGACTTTATTTTTTTACATAGAAAAAACCTACGTGGTGCGATTGATTCTAACAAACGAATTGACGCATCCCATGCTCTTGCAAACATCCCACCCAACCACCCGCAACTTGGTTTGCAAAACACGCGCGATGGCGATTGCAGCGAGTTCTGGGCGTTGGCTGGTGCATCTCTGCGGCCGCGCCAACCCTGGCACGCGCGCGCAGCGACCAGCTAGTTAGGCGCGACCGACGCGGCCGCGGCGGCGCCGACCGCCGGGCACATCTCAGCGGGCACTTCAGTGCGAGCCGGCGACTTGGGCGGGCGTGGTATCATGACAACGTCGACAACGACAGACACGATGATTAGAGTAGCGATACTGGTGACGTTCGCGGCGACGACGGCGAGGCCAATGACGGCACCAACGCTGCTCGCGTCGACGATGACGGCGTCCTCGCGTCGGTGATGGAGGTTTTGGAAAGAGTTCGACATGCGCGCGCGGCCGACGCGCGAGAGTAGCCGCATGGTGCTATTTGACACTGATCGTGCCCTCCAGCGCGCGCGCAAGGGCGCTCGAATGATTTTGGCGTGCGGCGCGAAAGGCCAGCGTGGCAGAAGTCCATGAAATGTTTGAAACACCTAGTAGTTTTTCAAGAACTCGCAAGAGCGCAAGCGCGCGCATGTTTGAAAACTGTCGTTGCAAACCCATGCTTGTTTTTTACGCATTGTTTGGACACTGGGTCTTGAACTCGCTACGAAACCAAAAATTGTTGAAAGGGTTCCGTCATGCGTGCGCGACGACGCGCGCGCGCACTTCGCCCAATTTTGCGCCTGAGATTCTCGCGACGGCACGCGCGCACAGGCGTTCCAACGATTTCGGAACGCGCACTCGCGAAGCCCGTGTGGTAGAATTTTCTGGAAATGATGAAAAACCCAGAACGGTTTTCTTAAAATTTCGCAACAGCGCGCGCAAGCATTGTTTTGGAAAATCAGTGTTGCGAAACCACTTGCTCTATATAGGTTGTTGGCCAGTCAACAATTTTGAAAATCCTTGCGAAACCGAAAAAGTTGTTAAAGGATTTCGGCATGCACGCGCGGCAACGCGCGCGTGTGCCCTTCGTTCATTTTCTCAACATGGACTCTTGATTTGTGATCAACGAGTGCGCTCGCATAGTTTTTGGGGCAGAAGACGGCGGGAGGGGGCGATACCGGCTCAGCTGGGATGATACGAAGTCATATTTAGGATGGACGATGAGACAGAACCATCATATGTAAACTGCGCATCCCCAGGGGGGATCGATAAGTCCGGCCGCGGGAGGGTGGTGGAGAGCCGAAGGTGGCGCAATGTGATGCAACACATGAGGTGCAGAATATGGTTAGCAAGTAATGTCTGTTCGCACTGAGTTGTCAACTCCACCCCTCGCACAGTCATCCCACCAGCCACCCGCAACTTGGTTTGCAAAACACATGCGGTGGCGATTGCGATGAATGCTTGGCGTTGGCTGGTCCATCCCTGCAGCCGCGCCGACCCAAGAACGCGCACGCAGCGGCCAGCTAGTTTGGCGCGACCTACGCGGCCGCGGTGGCGCTGACCGCCGGGCACATCCCAGCGGGCACTTCAGTGCGAGCCAGCGACTTGGGCGGGCGTGGTATCATGACAACATCCACAACGACAGACACGATGATTAGAGTAGCGATGCTGGTGACGACGTTCGCAGCGACGACGGCGAGGCCAGTGCGGGCGCCGATGCTGATCACGCCGACGACGATGACGGCGTCCTCGCGTCGGTGATGAAGGTTTTGGAAAGAGTTCGACATGCGCGCGCGGCCGACGCGCGAGAGTGGCCGGCATGGCATCATTTGACACGGATCGTGCCCCCCCGCAGGCGCGCAAGGCTGCGCGAATGAAATCGGCATGCGGCGCGAGGGGCCCATTTGGCAGAATTCCACGCGACAATGTATACCAAAAGAACGATTTTTCTGCAGATTTCACAAGAGCGCGAGAGCGCGCTATCTTGAAACGGATGTTGCGAAATCATTTGATGTTATATGTTTTTGGACACTCGGGTTTGAAATCCTTTCGAAGGTGAAAATTGTTTACGGATTTGGGCATGCGCGCGCGACGACGTGGGCGCGTGCACTTCGTCACATGAATTGCAAAGAATTTTCGCGACGGCATGCGCGCAAGGGCGTTCGAAAGATCTCGACATGCGCGCGAGCGCAGACCGTCTGGTAGCACGTTCTGAAAGAAGAGAGAGAGAGAGAGAAACAAAAAAAAAGAACGAACGAACAATCCGATGGTTTCTGAAGAATTCGCAAGAGCGCGAAACCAAGCTGTCTTTATCTGTGTTGCGAAACCCTGTATTTTCTATATGTTTTTTGAACACTCAATTTTGCAATCCTGACGGAACGGAAGGTGTTTGAAGGATTTCGGCACGCGCGCGTGACAACGCGCGCATGTGCACTTCGTCCAATTGTTTGAAAGGGATTGTTGAAAACTGATGATTTTTGATAAACGAGTGCGCGCGCATAGTTTTTTTGGGCAGAGGATGGCGGGGGGGGGGCCGATACAGGCCCCCCTGGGATGGTGTAAATTCATACTTAGGATGGACGATAGGGCAGAACCATACGTAAATTGCGATACGGAAAAGGGAACGGGTAATCCCGGGGGGAGAGTCTTTGTTAAGCAACGCAAAAAAAGGCTAAACAAGGCAAAGCAATGCTATGCAAACCAATGCAGTGCAAAGCGATGCACGGCGATGAGCTGGCGACGGGGCAGCGACGACGGGAACGTAGTCGCCAGACCGCCACACCAGCCCAGACGACGGGCGGCGACGATGCGGCGCAACCTGAAACGAATCCCTTCGCTCGGAGCTCCCCAGAGGCTCTCGACCTCATCTGTCGTGCGGATTTCTCGCCGTCGGTCGGTAACGCGCTGACCCAGATCCGCGCTCACCTGCGACAGCCACGGCCAGGTCCCGAACCCTGGCCAGCCACAAAATACCTCTAAGCAACCAGGTCGGATCGGCGGCGGCGGGCGGAGAAGGGGGGTTCGGGTCAGCCAAAGAGCATCGGAAGGAACCGGCTGACACCGTCAGCGCCGACCCCCGTGACGTGCGCCCCTCCCTCCCGCGCCCCCGTCCGCTCGTGCCCCGGTGCGCTCCGGCACGCCTCGCCGCTTTTCGCACGCCGTCTGATCCCGTGCGGCCACTGGCTGAGAAGAAACGTGCGCCCCGATGGTGGGCTTGTTCTCCACCACCACCACCGCCATAAGGAGGAGGGGGAGGGGGTCCTCCTCCTCCTCCTCCTCCTCCTCCTCCTCCTCCTCCTCCTCCTCCTCCTCCTCCTCCTCTTCGTCCTCCACCGCCTTCCCCCCTCCAACTTATGGTGGTGGTGGTGGTGGAAAACAGGCCCATGACCCGAGCTGGTTGCTCCTGGATCTGGCCTGACCGAATGAGGGCACCCAGCCTCTAACGCCCGTTGATGGCCCCGAGGAGGAGGAGGAGGAGGAGGAGGAGGAGGAGGAGGAGGAAGAGGAGGAGGAGGAGGGGTGCCCTTGGACAGGGTGCCCATGCGTCGCTGCTGCGCCGGGCCATCGCGAGCCAGCAGCGCGCGCACGAGCAGGTGCGGGCGGCCCGCCGGCCGCCGTCGCCTGGAATACGACCTCGAGCTGGTGGGCCGTCGGCGGCAGCATCCGCTTAGCGGCCCAGCGACACACCCTGGGGGTCAAGGGGGGCATGAGGAAGTTGCTTCTTCTTCTTCTTCGAGGGAGGAGGGATGACAGACGACGGAGGACAGAGGACGCAGGGAGAAGCGAGAAGGGAGGACGGATGACGGTGGACAGGGCAGAGGACCGAGGGAGGAGCGAGGAGGCAGGAGGGAGGGAGGCAGAAGCGAGGAGGGAGGAAACTTTTGAATACAAGATACAAGATTCCCTCAAATCATTGGCGGGGTGGTGGACGTGATGCAAAGTATGATTCGTGCCAGGGAGGCTTGCAATGTCCGCTTTGCGGTCCTGGGCAAGCTCACGTTGCGCGTGCATCATCAGATCGGAAAGGCGTGGTGTCCTTCCTCGCTCACCCCGTCCCGCACACAAAGACGTTGCATCACGCAATGACCTTGGTGGAACCAAAAATTCTGGTCCCGCTACTCCCCAGACATCTGCCAGAGTGCGTTCTGACACTGATCTCGAAGCGAATCCAGCCGTGGCGGCGAGGGAAGGGTAATTAGCAGTAGCAATATATCTTGCCATCTCTAGAGAACATCGCGGACGCTGCGATATCCAGACCGAAGCCGTGCCGGGGACCGATGGGCACGTCAGGAGGCAGCCCTGGAGCCCCCAGAAGCTCAGAAGCGCAGGAGCCCAGCAGCGAGCCCAGAACCGCCGCGGCACCCGTGGACCGCTCTTGTGGGCATGGCGGCGCGGCCGCGGCCGCTCCCCAGGCGTGCGATGCCCAAATGTGTTCCATACGCGGCCCCCGGGGGCTCCGGCCCCCTCCCTGGGGCTGGTTCTCCGCCCCGACTCCTGCTTCCGTCGGTCCTGGGGCACGGCGAGGGCTGGCGGCCCACGCCGACCCAGGCCCGGGGCGAAAGCGGGCCCGCGCCGCGGCCTGCCGCGAGATCGGGGCCGAGCAGCGATGGGGGCGGAGCGGCGGGGGGCTGCGGGTCCCGGCGGGGGCCCGCCCGAAGATCGGCTTCGCGAGAGGGCAAGGAATTCTGGTCCGCGGCCGCAAGTGGACGGGCGGCGGTCGGGCGACGGCGGGGCGCACTGGGCAAAGAACGGCACGGGGGGAGAGCAGGAGGAGGAGGAGGAGGAGGAGGAGGAAGAGGAGGAAAAGGAGGGAGGCGGGAAAAGAGGACGACACGGACACGGCGCCTACTCGTCCCGTGGGACGGCCCTACGCGGGGATACGCGGCGGCGCCACGGCGCCTGCAGAGAAATTGAAACTTGATGGAGGTTTGGAAAAAAGTGAGGGAGAACTCGCCGTCCGACCCACTCGATGAGATGATTATGTCCTTGTCTCGGTACGTAGGGTTCCTCGAGCTCAGACCGCAGAGCGATTTCCCGAGCAATTGCTTGCCCGGGTCGCCCGCAGCTTGCACGAATAAAGTCTGCAACATCGTAAATCCAAATTTCGCTGGGACGGTGTAATCGATTGGGTCCCATAGCATAGCCTTTCGGCTCCATTTTCCACGCCGTCCTCAGCTGATCTTCAGAAAGTCTCCATTGCAAGCGCCTCTGCCGCGTGTACCAATTTTCGCACCCCAATTGCCGGCAGTATTGTGCCACTTGTTTTGTTGCGCATTGGATCCAGCCGTGCGTGAGATGAGATGAAAGAGGAGTCGACGTAGCCAGAGGGCGGGCTCCAGATGACCGAACTGAGCGCGAAGCGCCAAACGCGCGGCACCAGGCACTCGCGTGGCGGAGGCGTACGTATGATGTGAACGCGTCGGGACGACGTCTTTCGATTTGTGATGAGTGACGAGGTGGAGGAGGCAGAGGAGGAGGAGGAGGAGGAGGAGGAGGAGGAGGAGAAGGAAGGGGCGAAGGAGGCGGAGGAGGAGGAGGAGGAGGAGGAGCAGGAGCAGGAGGAGGGGGAGAAGAGGAGAAGGAGGCGGCGGAGGCGGCAGAGAGGGGGCGCGAAGCGCGGGCGGCCGGGAGGCCAGGGGCAGGACGGCCAGGCTCCGAGTGCGAAGGACTCGGCCGGGCGCGCCGCAGCACCGCGGCAGGGTGGGGAGCGCCGGCGCCGGAAGTCCGAGGGGGCGCCACCAGCGAAAGCCCACGGGCGCGCAGACATGGGCTGGCGATCCATGGACTTGGCGCGCGGTCACCAAATCCATGGACCGGGGGAGGTGCCCTCCCCGGAGTGCGGCCAGTGCCGCCCCGCTCGGCGGCGGGAATCCGCGACCTCCCGCGGAAACGGGACCCGTCGCTAGTCCACGCCCCCTTGATCCACGTTTGCGATCGCCTGAAATGAAAGCCCACGGACGTGTCAAGGCTGAGGGCGGAGAGCGCAGCACAGTGCGGCCCGTAGTAGCCCCCAGGGCAGGTGAGGGCAGCCAGTGTCACCGCCACCCGCCGCCCCAGGGCCACCCGCGGGGGCGCAGCGCTGGATGGGGCTCCCCCTATGGGGGTTGGTGCGAGCAGGATGCCAGGCCTCTGTGGCCGAGCTGGCACTGAGGGAAGCGGGCCCTGCATGGGACCCCAGGCGACCCCCACGGGGCGGTTTTTTGTCCCGACGCGTTTTCTGTTCGGCGGCCTGGGGGCCCAGGGAAGAGCCCCTGGAGGCAAAAGGTGAAAGAGAAGCAGTAGCAGCAACAATCACAGTCAGTTCAAGACTGCTCGCTCTTCGTTGCCCACGCACCACTCAACAAAAATACCCCCGAACCCTCGATACCCGCGCTCCCGCGCTCTTCGTCTTCGATCGTACCCCCTTTGGGGGGTATGCCCTGATTGTCCTCAACGTGTAGTTGGCGCGGCCCCTGAAACAGGAAGAGGAAGGCGAAAAGACGAAGCGAGAGAGTGAGGAGGGGGGAGGAAACGAAAAGGGGGGACAGGAAGAGAGAGATACTGAGGAGGGAGAAGATTAGCAGGAAGGAGAGGGAGAGAGGGGCAAGAAAATTGGCCAGCGGACCCTACCGGGCGGGTCGGGTGGCCGGATCCCGACGGGCGGGCCAGGCGGGCGGGGCATTTCAAGGGGCGTGCGGGTTTCCACTCAAGCGGGCGGGCGGACACCAGGGGGCAGGTCGGGCGTGCGGACCCTAACGGTTGCGTCCGGCGAGCGGGCCCTAACGGCCGGATCGTACGGGGCACTAAAGCGGGCAGGCGGGCTTCCAAGCCGGCGAGCCAGCGGACCCTAACTGGCGGGTTCGGGCGGGCGGACCCTGACGGGCAGGTCAGATGGGGCATTGAAGCTAAGCGTGCAGATTCCGAAGAAACCTCAGGCGAGAGCGCGATGTCTGACAAACTTGCAAGGAAGTCTCGCGCAAAAAAGCGCAATTCCTGGTCGTCAAGATCGCGGCGCCTGGAAAAATATAAAAAGCACCAGGCGAGAGCGTGATTCCTGAGTAAACTGCGAAGCGTTTCCTTAATACAAAACAAGGTGCGGGCTCCATGAGGTACTCGAATTGAAAAATACGGTGGGCACTAGTGTGGGGGAGATGGACAATGAGTTGTCTTCGGATGCGGAAATTAGAGGACGTCCATGAATACACAGATAGTAGAAACATATACATGCATACATACATACAGACAGACAGACAAGCAGACAGACGTACATACATACACGCACAGACATACATACATACATACATGCATGCATACATGCATACATACTTATATACATACATACAAACATACATACATACATACATACATACATACATACATACATGCATACATACATACATACATACATACATACACACACACATACATACATACATACATACATACATACATACATACATGCATGCATGCATGCATGCATGCATGCATGCATGCATACATACATGCATACATACATACATACATACATACATGTGGAGGGGCTAATTCTACCTATAGTGATGGTTTCGCTTGCTTTGTCGGCTTTGCTTCTTGCTTCGCCTGACGGCCCCAGCGTTGAAGTGCGATCGCATCGCATTGCATGGCTTCCGCATTGCATTGGCATTGCAATCGCATTGTGCTTGCGTTGTCGGCTTTGCTTCTTGCTTCGCCTGACGGCCCCAGCGTTGAAGTGCGATCGCATCGCATTGCATGGCTTCCGCATTGCATTGGCATTGCAATTGCATTGGATTGCATTGCGTTGGATTCCCCCTTTCAGTTCCTGGCCCCGTGGGGGATCTGAGGCGGAGGGAGCAGGAAGGGCGTGGATTGCATTGCGTTGGATTCCCCCTTTCAGTTCCTGGCCCCGTGGGGGATCTGAGGCGGAGGGAGCAGGAAGGGCGTGTACATTGTGTTTTCACCCAGTCCCTCCTGTCTCCCCCCCTGCGTCTGGGGGGTCTGCGGAGGAGGAGGGAGGAGGAGGAGGAGGAGGACGAGGAGTGAGGAGGAGGAGGAAGAGGAGGAGGAGGAGGAGGAGGAGGAGCTGGGGGAGAACGACGACGACGACGACGACGACGACGGCGACGGCGACAACGACGACGACGACGACGGCGGCGACGACGACGACGACGACGACAACGACAATGTTAATTGATTTACATGTTTGTTCTTCTTTATCTCCTTAGTTTTCTCCTAAGTAATCCTCCACACAAGAAATCAATGTGTAATCCGCTACTAAAGAAATCAATGTGTAATCCGCTACAGAAGGGATCCTTGTGTAATCCGCCACAAAGGGGATTAGTTCGTATTCCGCTACAAAAGAAATATATTTGTAATTCGTCACAAAAGGAACCTGTTTGTATAATGATACTAGTGGTATTGAGCACGACACGAAAGCGCTGTGCCTGCGAGTTTATGAACGTTTTTAAAGGAAAAAGAAGCATACGTATCTTTCGTTGAGTTCGGAAAGATCAGGGAAACGAGAAATTGGAATTCCAAATGCTTGTCGAAGATCGCTGTTTTGGCGCGTATCCATGTTGATATAACGTGCGGGTTTCGCGATTGCTAACGCTTACCGCTGCCCGCGAGGGCTTCTTGAGGTTACGAAAAGGGGGAATGTATGTGCATGTTTTGCCGATTTGGGGCGGGCTGGAGCACACAAACATGGGGTCC